ACCTTCAGAACCCTTACAGAGATTACAAGAGACATAGAACTGTCTTTAACCCCTTAAAGACACATGACATGTGTGACATGTCATGATTCCATTTTATTCCAGACGTTTGGTCCTTAAGGGGTTAAAAAAGAACACGTTATTTTATGAGTGCAATGTAAATAATTATCCTCTCTTTCACTATAACATTAGGTAACGAGAAATACAAAACAAAATAATAACCAGAATTCATTACCTCCATGGTTTGATCTCAAGAAAGTCTTTGCGGCAGAAAAGTTTTTGTGCCAGTGGGCTAATGCCTTGTAGGTTCCTCTTTGAGATTGCTCTTATTGACCCAGGGGGTTACCACACAGGTCTCAGTAAGGAGCCTCTTCACCACCTAGTCCTGCTAAACTGGAGAGAGCAGGAAGGAGGGGAGGGGAGGCAATCAGTGTTTAAATTTAGACTCAAATCTAAACAGATACTGTATTTCCCAGAGTACAGAGCTGAGTCGAGGGGGTGAGAGGGAGAGACAGAGAAAAAAAAGAAACAGCAGCCACTGAACTGCCCATACATGGGGACACGATGCATCTATTTCCTCCTAATCTTTTTATTTTCTCCGCCCCAGTTTTTTTTTTTTTTTTTAACTTTTGCCAAACTCTGTTGAAACTATTTCGAGCAAATAGTAGTAAAGTTCAAACTGATGGAAAGTGAAATGTGACTGTCACATCACGAAGAGCAATTTTGTGTTTCTGGCAACAAAATGAAAAGAGAGGCACATTAAAACATGCTTTTATTTGTAGCACATTCTAGAGATGTTTAATATTCTAGATCATGTATCAGTGACAGTATACTATGTTGTTTCCCATTGCAGCCTGTAGTAGAATTACACGTGGTTTGCATGCAGGTATGTTTTGCTTTGGAGAACTCAGTCGCAGGGGTTGGAATTTAACTTCTATAGATAAGTTCACAGGATCAGCACACCTTCAAAAAAAAGAACCATTTATAACAACACCGCTAAGTTAAGCTGAGTTAGGAGGTTAGAGTGAGGCTAGCTACAGGATTGAAGCTAGGGTTAGGGCTAGGTGGGTTTAGATTTAAGACAAACGAATGGTCATGTGGAACCTGTTTTTATAAAAGCTTTAACATTAAGTTAAGGGAACGGCTGGCTGACAGTGATAGCAGTTCCAAACAGCAGTATCTTGAAGGCCTGCACTCTTTAATCTAATAAACCAAGTTATAAAGAGGCTACGATCTTAACGTGTCACTTTAATGATGCCCGGGTTTTTGTTTTATAAAAATTTTTAAGATTTTTACATTCATGGACTTTTTTTGACATATTTCGGATAAGGTTTTGATGCATGTTAATTCCCATATAGACATTCCGCGACACCCTGTTTGGCTGGCCAGATACATTCTTCCTCAGCAATTACAAGTACATGTAGCATGTCATACATATCACTCCAAGCATTAAGCAGATCAAATAGTAAGTCATTTGTGGCTGATAAAAACTGTAAACAAAGAAACCTCTAATGATATTAGACAATGAGTGTTGTGATGGTAGTTAATGGCTGCCTCTGCCTTGAGAGGTAACAGCTGGACCTTCTTTCTAGATTAGCAGCACCACTTAGACTGAGGGGTGGATGAGAAGATTTTTCAAGTTCACCCAGGGATCGGAGTGGCTGACTTGCAGGACCTGAGTTGGACCTTGTCTTTCTACACCCTGGAACAGGTCACTTGGGCAGACTAGATGGGCCGAATGGTTCTTATCTGCCGTTACATTCTATGTTTCTAGGAGGACAGACATGGTCCCCTCTGTCTAGGTGTCTCTGGACACTGTCTTTACCAAGACACATATGATCTCTGAAAGTGACCGTCTCTTGTTCTCTCACCGCAGTACATTCTATTGCAGCATTTACAGGGTTGACCAAAGCAGCATATGTAAGCTTAAAATAAAAATAAAAAAAAAGGCTGCATCCCGTCTGCACTGCTGCCTTGTGAGCACCTTTACCACAATACCTTGGGTGCGCTCAGGCTCACAGTAATGTCTGATTGGGTCTTCCTTCATAGTACCATACAGACAGCTTACGTATGTATGGCAATGCCGGGGTTAAACTCATTTACATGCTGTATCCAGCGTGCCAGGCAAGGCATGCAAATTAAAATAAAATAAACTAGTGATATAAAAAATAATAATATAAAAAAAATAATAATATTAGCACAATTAATAGCAAACCTTTAGTTAGCTGTGCAGTTGTGAAAAATCTCAAAGGTGATAATTCCTTTTTAAGAACCTTTGCTTAATACAAAGTGTAGCCTTTAGCAACTCTCAGTTCAACCCGTGACATACTTTCAAAATAATGTATAGAAACAAGTTGTTAACAAAAAAGGAGAGAACAGGGAAACCGAGAGGCTGCTGGCTGCAATGGCAACGGCAAATTACTCTGATTACATGAACATAATATCCAAGCACTGCATATAGCCTAGCAAGGGTACCACCTATACATCAATCTTTAAACGGGCAGCAACTCACCATCACCACTATATCACACTGTAGTGGTGATGGTGCCAGGAATGGGAAGTAGTCAGTCTGTTTCCAGCCTCCTTCTCTGAGATATCTAAATTAGAAATTTCCCTTCTACAGCACATATATCAATTCTGCCCCTATTAGAACACAGGTGGGCAGTCTGGGCAGAAAGATAGATGAGGGCTGGAGGGCCAGATGAGTGTTGTGTCAAACCATTTAAAAAGGTAGTTTGACTACCCACCATAGGATTTTGCCAGGGCACCATAACCACTAGTGAAATTAGAGCATGACACGTACTAATTGGCATTATGTCAAACTTTTGGGAAAGGAATCAATTTACTAACTGCTGTAACTTTGCAGGAATGCCAAATGAAACAAGGTTCTAACTGGAGTAAGAATTGGAAACCATCGAAATGCCAATCGATATTTACTAAAATGTGTTGTGTCTTCACATCTCGCACAGATGCTACGCCTAGTGAGACCATATAAAATGCTTTACTGGGCGAGCGGAACTGCACCAATGAACTTTTGGAACTACAAGTGAATGTATTTAATGCTGGAATCTGTGAGACCTCAGCTTGTCATTCAAGGACGAAAAATAGCTACCTCACACTGAGAGACCCAGTCAGCTCTGTCTAACCCTAAATAAAAGAAAAAAAGTTGAGTCAGTTAAAATAAGGTTTAACTGTCAAAAATATTTTTTTTAAATCTAATTTAAAAAAAATAAAATACTATTCTATACTGCTAAAGACAAAAACTAAATAAATACTAGTTATACCGCTAAAGACAGTTGATGTTTTGATCGAAGTTCTTTTCTTAATTCTCTTTTTTTAGCCTAATATAGTCCTCTCCCATCTTAGCCAGGGAAGGGGTCACTAGGGCTGGGTAAACAGAGTAATTTAACTCCAAAGTGATTTAACTCCGATGAGACTGCAGGTGTATGATCTCTACACCAAAACCTCTTAATTAAGCTAAATTTGTTTTGGTCCTTAATGTGTCCCTTTAACAACAGTGTATACCGCAATGCATCCTATACAGAGCATAAATGAACTCATACAAGAATTAAATGAACAAGGTAGTTCCCCCAGTCTGCAATTATAGATATATAAAGGTGTTAATAACACTTTACTGCAGATATTTAGCAACCACAAATGAAATCAGCTCTAAATTTAAAAAAAAAAAACGTGTAGGACACCTTCCACTTTTATTACTAAAATTATTTTTGCACAGCTTGCGAACTAATAATTTGGTACTGTTTTTTTTTTTTGTTGATTTTTTATTTTTTTTTACATCTACACTATTTTGTTTTTTGCTTTTTTTTATTAACATTGTCTACATTGTCCTTTAACAGATCACACCATGCAAATTCACATAAACAGCGACTTACTGCACTGTCTGCACACGTGGGCACATGCCCATCTGTGGCACTACTGAAAGTCTGTGGTATTTCTCTGCTGAGGCCCAAGCACATATGAATGCATGTGGATCATCATAGGGCAATGTCATCACCCTGGACCTAAAATGCTCTGGCTGTAGAGTTTGTTCTTTACTTTTCGTTTGACTCCTCTGAATTACTGAATTACCACAGTGAGAGATTTAATAGTATTTGCTATTGAGGATATGAACTGTCATTTGAATGACCTCAATGGCGGATAGTCGCATGTCAAGAGAGCTCCTCACTTGTTGAGTATTCTAACCCAAATAATCACCCATTACCGCTCTCTGCACTACGCTGACTGTGCCCCACAGGCTCCATAACCAGACGGGATTAACGAGACTCAGCTAAAAGTGGTTCAACTTACCGCTTACCAGCAAACCTGACTTGACGCAGTGCCGCCTGGTGCATAATTGGAGAAGGAGAGGCAGTCGATCTCTTGATCTTGTCAGGATTACTAGTTGATCCAGCACATAGAATTGTGTCACACAGATGACTAATAGGTAATGTATTACCGGGACTTAGAATGGCCGCACTTAACGTACCAAAGAATAGTCAGGATACTTGCCGAGGTCAGGGGACACAGAAAGAGACACAACGATAAGAGAAAGACAGAAGTCAGGGAAACAGAAAACAGGGAAGTCAAAGTCAAAAACCAGAAGAAACTTGAATCAGGAACGTGCTCTCGGACAACCACAGGGGAAACCACGACAGGGCACTGAGCAGGATGAGAACTGGGCCTAAATACCCCTCCTTAAGTTCTGATAGGCTGTAACCGGCCTTTGACCCCAAAGGCGGTTACCAGGTTCACATTTGCATAATTGCTGCTCAGAATTAACCCTTCTGTGGATTAGGTTGCTACTCGGCACAACTTTTCCCGTGTGGACAGTAAATGCCATTAACCACATTTCTATAAGCGGATGAATATATGACAGATCTTGAGTGAACTGGGCCCCTGTGTTGTCCCTCAGGTGCCCCATACCCCCTGGGCCGGTGGGGATTATCTCGGACTACCCCTCAGAGGCCCTGCTGTTTCACCACAACCTGCAAGTCTTGTCTAAAATGGCGGATGCCACAAGTCCCACTGTTCTGTATTCAGAGCAAGTCGACATCTCCTCTCGCCTGGACAGAATCTTTGCCGCATTTTGGCAGAAGCTCCACCAGCGTCAGCAGGCTACTGATCTGCAGGAAGCATACTCACCATGGAGACTGCTGGAAAAACTCCAGCACAAGACATCAGTTTCAATCCTGACTCTGGCCCGTTACCGACGGGAAAGAGAGCGGCCCCTCAAGATGGAAAATCTTTCCCTGGCCCACTACGCGGCCCTGATGCTCGGAGACCACACCTTGGATCTCCCAAAGGAACTGTGAGAAGGGAGAACACGCCGGGAAGAACACCAGGGATGCCTCTCCGTGCTGCTTGGAGGCTGACTCATGACACCTGGGCCCTCAAATTTGCTCTGATGCGCGGCACTCAAATCTGCCCCAGGATGTAGTTGAGTGGTTGAGCTGAGGACTGTGAGCTGCCCTCGGAGACTGAACAATTGCATCAACACCCATTTGTCTTAAACTGTCGTAGGGCATTCGTTTATTTGTGTATTTGGTTGTTTTCTTTTCTTTATTTCCTTATTTAGTTGTGGATGCCTTACTCATTTAATGTGCCCACATTGCTGTTGACCGAAGCGGGGTCTCCTGGGGGGGTACAAGCACAAATATATCATTAGATTTAATCATTTGTCCTATGCTTGTGAATAGTCTATGTCCATGTCCGTAATCATACCTACGAGCTCATTGCTTTCTAAAGCCTTTGGACACGTAATATCTTTTGTTCCATCCTCACGTTCTATACCATAAAACCAGTGCATACATTGCAAGACATAGCTGAATCTGCTACAATGTCACTAACTTCTCTTGAGATAATGTCTTCAACATTGCACTGCAAAAATAAAGAATTATTTAAAAAAAAATTAAAAAAAATTCACACTGCAGTAAACTAGGAGTGAACTTAACATTTTAGAACACAGCAGCCAAAATAGAAACATTGGTGACATTTTTCAATTGAGCTATTTTGGATTAAAATTTTAAATGAAAAAAACTTGAAAAAAATTTGAAAAAAAGGTTTATTGGTAAAATCCCAGTTACTGATTGGCACCGCTAACAAATTCATATCGTCACTGTTCTGTAAGCAGGTTCTAATTGTAGTTCTACTAGAAAATAAACCAGCGGTCGTCTCATCAAGTTAAAGGAAGCTAGTTGTGATATTATCAAATAACTGCCTTCCGCTTTTGGCATTAACAAACCTTGCCTCATATAGAGCTCAGGAAGTGAAATTGCAGGTGTTCACAGATCACCACCCTGAAGAACACAAAGTAATAAAAAAGTATTTACGGCTTCTGGTAACAAATTATTTGGGACCCAGTTCTGATGGACCCAGACATCTGACCTGCCACTGTAGGTTATGGTGCGTGGAGGTCCTACGTCCGAGTCTCCCTACACACAAACTTGCTCATATCTGACACACGTTGGAATTATTTTAGCAGCTTTAAACCCACCCCTATCCACCAAATGTCACGGATAGAAGCTAATACTCTCCCTGCCTGCCCAAGTCCCTGTACAGCCTGTTTCTGCTGCCAGTGTCAATGGTAAACAGGGCTTACTTTTTCGGATATAGACACCATAGCATCAGCAGTATCTGCAAATATAGCTAAATTCACAAAAGTTTGATTGTCGTTACGGACAACTGCACTGTGGCATGCTTAACTGATTCATTTACATTTTTTAAATAAATATTCACTGTACCGAATGAGAAGGAGAGTATCCCTTTAATTCTGTTCCATTTAAGCAGGCTGTGAAAGCTACCTACATTTCAAAGTACAGCTGCCATGTCCCCAGCTGGCCAGGGTAGTCTAAGTACATATATTATGTTTGCAAGTTAGCCGGACATGAATTTTGACATTTCGATTCGCCTGACAGAGAAATGTAAGTTGCTCATGCATTGAAAGGAAGTATTGTGGGGAGGTTTGAATGTGTCACCGTCAATTTTATTTCATGGTTTTTTAAGTTTATAGTATTGGAGTTCTAACCTGCTCACAGTTTAACACACAGATATTCCGAATCTGGATCTGCTACAAGTGTGTGTTTAGATTGAAATGTATATTTATAATCCCTTATTTAACCAAATCCAAAATCCAGTTTTGTGGTTTCACAAGAAGCAGCGCCATCAACGCGATACGCAGACAGACAGCAATATTTACTAAAGTTGGCCGTTGGAGGCCAAAATATCCAAATTGGCCTTAAATTTGAAATTAAATTTGAATTTACTTCCAAACAATTTTCACTTTATAAGTGAAAATTCAAATTTAAAATTTAAGGCAAAATAACTGGTTTTGTGCACATACACCATTTTCATATGTATACAATTTCCACCCTATACACAATGATGCCTTTAATTTCTTCCATTTCTGCAGTCCACCAATATAACCCATCTTTCTAACACTTTCCATTCCTTTTTTTTTCTTGTTTTCCCCCCATAAATATTTTACATTTCATTACGTTAAATGAGTCATATTACTTGGTAAAAAAATGGTGCATTTACATTTGTGAAACAAATCTGAAAGCTGATTATATTTCTCAGAAAACGAACCAGGATGACAGAGGAGGAAATAAAATGTTTGTGCCACTTTTTTTTCATACATGGGAAGACACACATTTGTGAACCAAATGAACCACAAGAAAAGGACACAATGTCAAGAATCCTACTTGGCAGGAGTGGTAGTAGATACTTGGAATAGTCTCTGGTGGGAGTAGTGAAAGCTAATATCAATAAAGAAATTGTGAATGCTTCAGATTCGAATAAGACTATTCTGAATAGGAAATAATTTAAAGGGACACTTCAAGCAGTGTAACTACTAAAGCCTGCTCTAGTGTTTATGGGTCCAAGAGAGCTCTGACGCTCCCCCATTGTGAGCTTTTTTAGAATATCTTGTCTTTTCACCTTGTGCTGCTCCACAGCTCCACTACTGACAATGGAGAGCTTGAAGCTCTGCCTGAACTAAGCTCTGCAGGGCTGAGAGTGATCATTGGCTGAGAGTGACCTGCTGATACTCTCAGCCAGTCAGAGGGAGCTTAGCTCTGGAGAGCTAATGGAAGCTCTCCGTCACCCATAGTGGAGGTGGCTAGTGGCACCCAGGAGACACCAGGTAATAAGTAAATCTATTCTAATAGAACTTGACTACTTTAAATGGAGGGAGGGGGAGCCAGGGCACTTCCTGCACCATAACCACTACAGTAAACTGGAAATTTGGTTGGTGCTTCACTATGGAGAAGCATTGGATTGGCTGAGATCATTGGGACTGCTTGTCTCAGCCAGGGAGTCAGAGCAGCAGCACTGAGACCAGTTTGCCACAAGATGTAAGTTAGTAAAATGTACCTTTTAAACACATGCAAGGTGCGGATGGACACCTTCAATGTTTCTGTCAGACGATAGAAAGCTTACACTGGAAGTAATGAGGTACTTTAGGAAGGCCAGCAACTAAACTTGTGCACAAATCCAAATGCAGCTGCGACAAACAAGTCAAATTTCTGCTAATCTACACCAAACGAACTGATCCGCCTAACTCCACCGGTAAACCTTGGACCAATCGATTAATTTAGGTGTAGAGTAACTGGAATTTGATTTATAAGTCATAGCTGCAGTGGATTTGTGTAAAAGTCTACATGATTTTCTAAATATAATTCATTTTCTGTATTACTATCAACAAGCAGATCAACTCCATGTCGTTCTTTGTTCATTAACCCCTTAAGGATACATGACGGACATTTTCCGTCATACTGGCCTTTTCTGAAGCTTGGTTCTTAAGGTGTTAAACCCACGGGAGTAGATTTTGTTTTTACAGGTCAAACACGTGTAGAGTGAAAATGTTACTCATTGCATCTAATTTGTAAGCTGACATATAAATTCCTTAAACCCTGCTTATTGTTAGAAATCTTAAAAGTATGATAGCCTTTTATCTTAACACAACACGCCTTGTCCTACGCCGTCGTGTTCACAAACAGCTTCTTTGTATGTCATTATATAGTATACTTGTTTAAACTTCCAGATGTTTGTCATTGAAAATCATAGAACTGGGCCATTAGTCAATTGTCTTGTTAAATGTCTTGAGTAACTTCCTGTTTTTGTGTAGTGTTTATAAGAGCCCAGTATAAGCCTCTCCCATGCATGGCCAGCTGTGAGGAAGTAACATTAGTACATTGTATTTTAGGAATAATTCTTACTGGAGAGCTGTACTAAACCAAAAAATATTAATGTCTGCTTTTGCTGTTATTAAAAGTTTACAGAAGGCAGTTATAAATAGAAAAATAATGAATTGTGAAATCTCAGACTGATTTAAAAGAGCTCTCCAAGTTCTATAACCACTGTAGCGCACTATAGTGGTTATGGTGCCAGGTGTGCCCTGGCGGTCCTCATTGTAAGTAGTTAAACCATTTTAGAACAACCTCTTACCTGGGGTCTGCTGGGTGCAATTCCCCACCTCCTCTACTGACGATGGGGAGCCATAAACTCTTTGTGTTAAACCCTGCAGTACTTAGCAATCAATTGGCATTCTCAACCAATGAACTAGCCCTTCATTGCTGGGCTTGGCTCAGGAGCAGGGCCTGGCAGACCCCAGGTGAGAAGTTGTTCTGCGCAATGCAGGGCTTAGCTTAGGAGGCTTCACTGAACCTCCTAATAGGAGCTTTCTGCTCTCACTTCCACCTGCAGGGCGGCAGTGTAGAGCAATGCCAGATGGACCTCAATTAAAGCAGACTATAGTGTATGTATTCCTGGCAATATAGTGTCAATTTAACTATTCAAGTTAACACTATGTGTTTTACTCACCTTTTTTCCCATGCCGCACCAGGCTCCACCTCTATGGCTTAACTATTCAAGTTAACACTATGTGTTTTACTCACCTTTTTTCCCATGCCGCACCAGGCTCCACCTCTATGGCTTAACTATTCAAGTTAACACTATGTGTTTTACTCACCTTTTTTCCCATGCCGCACCAGGCTCCACCTCTATGGCTTAACTATTCAAGTTAACACTATGTGTTTTACTCACCTTTTTTCCCATGCCGCACCAGGCTCCACCTCTTGTTAACAAGATTCAAGCTTGTTAACAAGATTCAGTAGAAATCTTTAAAAAAAATGATGAATAACTTTTTTAGCAAAGCTTTTCAGGGCTACGATAGTTAATATTAACAGCTTGTTGATCCAATGAGAAATCTGATTGCCATTTTGGAGTCAAGAAGGAACATTTTCCCTTTTTGTTGAGAAATTGGAAAATCTAAAAAATAAAAAATTATATTTTGCAATTTTTTTGCTCAACACCAGAAACTGGAATGTTTGGAAGGTTAAATTTGATGGATTCCTTATCTCAATGTATTTTATTACATAACTAGTAAGGCCATAGATGCTGGTGGGCCACAGCTGACCTCTAGCAGTGAGAACTTCCAGATCCATTATTTACTATTTGCTCACAGTGATAACCTGCTGAATAGTAAGATTTCTTCTTACACTCTGCAAGTGTTTATTCTCTAATACAAACAAATTTCAAGAGTCGATGGACCTGGTGCTACTAATATAAACCAGTGCAGCCTTAATATCACCCAAGTGTAATGCCACAATAAACACTTAATGCATACGTCTTTAGGAAAGAAAAAGGTGACTGCGCACACATTAGTCACGGGTACCTCACAATAAATGATGGTAAATGAAACCTAATACCAAATGAACATAAAAAACAACATAGTTTAATATGTAACAACTCCATGTGGTAGAAGAAAAAACTCACACATTTAAAAGCCAATATTGCGAGAGTTCTTTACTATGAAGGCATGTCAGAAATCCTAGATGGAGACAGGATGAAATGTTTTCAGGTATTAGGTAGAAATAGTAAAGATCCTCTCAGGATAATCGCGATACAAAGTAGGTAAAAAGTTTTATTTAACATAAATATAAAGTAAATAAAAAGCACAACGCGTTTCAACCCACTAACGGGTCTTCCTCAGGTGCGTGTAAAAACAATACTACTCATATAGTTCTTAAACACCCCCCACCAAACAAACCTATTAATTACAGGTGTGTATACAGTCCAAATATGGTCCGGATGTTGTGCTTTCCGCCCCATCTAATATAGAGATCGGGATATAGTTTGTGTAGTTCTACAGTCCTTGATCTTCCCAAGATGGCAGCCCACTCCAGACGTATCTACATCTCTCCGAGCACGGTCTTCAATTTCCTGTGACAGATTTCTGGTTACTTGTATAATGTATGTTGCCGACCCCTGGTGTACAGTATACTGATTGTAAATAGTAGTACAATGATTTATGCATTTCTTTTGCTTCACTGTTGTATTTTCTCCCCACAAACGTCTGTCACAACGTACATTAATCCTCTACATTTTAAGCTCACTGGCCTTCTGGCATAGTACCTTGTAGGAGGGTGAAACCCAATGGCAGGGTCCAATTTTCCTTCTGTAACAGCGTTCCTAATTACCTATCCCTTTGTAGAATTGCCCATGTTCTTTTGGAATAAATTGTAAAGCACTCTAATTAACAGCTCTGTATAAGTACTGCTAAACTAAAAATAATTCAATTATTCTGAACAATGAAGTTATTTCTTTTTGGGGGGTTGAGGGGGAGGGAGATTAAGCAATTTATGCTTTATGAATATGTAAAACCCAAGAGGAACATAATATAACAAACATTTACCATTTGTCTCTTTTGATTTTGAGCAGGTGGTCATTGTCCTCTCTCTCCTCTTCCTGGTTTTATAATAAAACATATCCCATATAACTGAGACTGGTCTCTTCAGTGCTTTTCAACGTGTCCACACTATGGTTCAACATAAAATATTGACTGACAGATTAGTTGGCGAGAATTCGCATCATTGAGGCAAACCATTGTACTCTCCATTCCTTTCCTGGAATATAAAACCCATATGAGCTTTTATTCATTAAACTGGGAATAGTGAAGAACTCATAAGAGGATTGTAAATTTTCCCAGCTGGAATAATGGCTGACTGTTAGACTGTTTTCAGCTTAGATAGATCAATTAAAAATGGAAATTTTATTTTCCTCCCAACTTCCGATTCAGTTAGAAAACAAACAAAAACAAAACAAAACACAGTATCTGTTTCTGTTATGTCATAAATTGTGGTACAGCATTTCACAAACCCAGCACTAGCACCACACAGATTGTCACTCAGTAGCTGCCAATACCCTGCTGGTTAATGTCCTGACAGTGATTCCCAAAATATAATGTTACACTTGTAAATTCAACGCCTGGACGCAGCTAAGGTGCTGGTCGATGCCATTGCCCTCTCTCTCGACTACTGCAATCCTCTTCTCAGGGGTCTTACATGTTACCAACTTGCCCCGTTACAGTCTATAATGAATGCGGCGGCGAGGCTCATCTTCCTGTCCTCCCACGCCTCCCCCTCTGTCAGTCCCTGTATTGGCTTCCAGTTAGATATAGGGCTCAATTTAAGATTCTAGTGCTTGCTTACAAGTCCCTACATAATGCTGCTCCAACCTACCTATCCCCCCAATACACAAGTATGTCCCGTCTAGGCCCTTACGCTATGCCTAAAACTTACGTCTATCCTCTGTCCGTACTCCCACCTCTGATGCTCGCCTTCAAGACTTCTCCAGGGCTGCACCGTTCCTGTGGAACTCTACTTACCATACAAGTTCCATGGTTTGCAGGGATTAGAGAATTACTGCATTAGTAATATCTTACTCAAAATGCTGCACAACTTAACAATTGAAAAGAAAGAAAAACAATAAAACAGTTTTTACTTTAACCTGAGCAGAGCTTGCTTGTATATATCTCAGGTAACAATTTAAAGTGAATGGAAGTATTTCACGGTAAAACGACTTATTCTATGATAAATTAATGCTACCCTTTTCACACATCTCACAGCACTTGAAAAACACGTTTTGTTTCTGCTAAAAGCAAAGTTTTGTTTTAAAGTTTAATACCTTCTTTATAAGTCCCAATAACTGCCGGAAATAGATATATTTCTCCACTTGTAAATACGCTCAGGATACACTAAAAACACACACACACACACAGACACACACACACACAAACACACACACACACACAGACACACACAAACACACACACAGACACACACACACGCACGCGTAAGATTACTCAATACTCAATTCACATACATATTTATCAGTTGCTGTTTGTTTACCAATTAACTACAAGATGGTGCTGCCCCCCTGTGGTAGTAAATAAATATGCAAAAGGTAAAACACAAGGTTTGTAGTCAAATTAAAAGGACACTCCACTGCCCAATTACAAAAAATCTGTTTAGAAGGTGCACCTCCAATGAAAAGTATGCATGCATGTAACTCCTTAAGTACGCAGCTTGAGAAGCTGGACATACGCTTAAGGACACGAGCAGTTTTTGAATTTTTTTGCTGTTTGTGTTCAATCGCAATTTTCATTTTTCTCATTTATTGCACCAACACATATTGTATACTGTTTTTTTCGTTTTGTTTTTTTAGAATATTAAAAAAAATTTTTTTTTTATGTATAACATTTATCATACAACAATTGCATTGGAATATAAGGTTAATCAACATTGTATCACCTACATAACAAGTGTAACATTTATTTTACTTACCTAGCATATTTGGATATGGAGATAAACATTTATGCAAAAAATTCTACCAATGCCCGTACATATAAATGACAATAACACTGACAATAATACAAAACTAAATAAATTGTGCCGTGTGCGACGTGGGGAGCGGACTATCCTAAAAATAACAACCCATAAATTCTTACTAAGCATAGATGGATGGATCAACAGATCGGATATTTTAGTAACCAACTATTCCACAATTGATGATATTTTCCAAAGCATACTTGTGCAGAGTAATATCCCATTTCCATTTGGGCTTGATGTCTTATTTGGTTAATTATATTCACTGTTTAATTATCTCATTTTGTCGCCATTTCATAGCTATAACAATCTTTACGGCCAACAGACCTTGTATAAATAAAGCCTTGTCATTTTTGATAGCAGGGTTAATAAGGCTCTTTGAATCGTTGTAATTCAACCATGTTTCAGCAGTGAGTAATCTTATTAATGCCATTTAGACTCTTTATCCAATCTTCTAGATTCAAACGAGAGTCAAGTTCCCTCTGTCAAGCCTCAAAAGGTTTTAAATTGCTTGTTTCATCCAGCTATTCTAGTATATTATACCATCTGGTCAGATCTTATTTCACAACTTTATTCAAAATACTTGAAATATTGTAGGCCATTTCATGCCTATTATGATATATATATATATGAGTTTTCAGATAATACAACATTCTAAGTGAGTTAAAATATTCAGATTCTTTAAATGCGTACTCGTTAAGAAGCTGTACAGGTGTTTTAATTCCCTCCTCGGTCATAAAATTTCTTATTTTATACAATTTAAAGCTCACCCAGTTGTTAAGCTTAAAATGAGGATTATATACTGTTTTTTTATTTTATTTTTATTTATAATTCTTTATTTTGTCGTTCATGGGATAAACAAGGAGACATGCAATGCCACAACAGCAATTTCCAGCCCATAAATCATCATAGAAAAACAATTATTTGGCATAAAATAACATTGCACATTTTATATAATAACGTAGAATAATCACAAGGTTAGCTCTAATGTCAACTCTGAGACAAGGTTTGTGAGACAGAGTCAGATTAATCATGCTGACATGTGACATAAGGGTTTTATATGAACAAGCTTGAATGAATGGGACATTTTCTACAAAACAAGTTATGAAAAGACAAGGTTTGATACGTCTAGCGACTATCTGCTACATCCCACTGGGATACCCCCTCTGCATCAATCTTAGGTTCTTTAAGGGTGAGATTATGAATTATGCGAGAGGTAGCCAGTCCTAGGCAATGAGTCCCATAGAGTCTTGTAGTGCCTTCCCGGTCAGCCTATGCCTTCAGGAGTCGTAGGCCAGTCCTGCCCCACGCCGATCAGGTTGGAAGTCAGCGGGCCTTTGGGTACAGGAGACTAGATGAGGAGCTATCCCCGCTCCGGATTTGTTGGCTAGTACATACCGATGTCTTGGAAGTTTGAAGTCTGGCAAGGTTCAGGTTCATCCCCAGTGGGGTAAGACGTTGGGTTCTGTGGGTCTGTCGTGTGGATCTCATGCAGTGCTTGACATCCCGTCTTTTGCGTGCTCGGGGCCGCCGTTACCTCCAAAAATATTCTAGAACTGCTGAATGCTGCTGGAGAAAGTCTCACTTTGCATCTTACTTCCTCCACTATAAATTTATGCTATGCTCCTACAGCCTGGCTCTTTCTGCTGCGAAATTAAATTACTTTAACACCCTCATGAGTACACTGTCCCATCAACCCAAACACCTATTTCACACTTTTGATGCTCTTCTTTTTTTACTCCCCCTCCTTCTACCACCTTGTCCGCCACAAACTTTGCATCTCACTTCACTGAGAAGATCTCTACAATCAGAGAAGAGAGCTCTAATTTCTCTCCTTTCCCTACCATTACATCACCCATCCCCACTCCCTCCACCATTCTACACTCATTCGCCAAAGTTGTGACCAAAGTTACAAAGTTAATTACTGCTAAATCTCGCGGCCATTACTCTATCCTAATTCTCCTTGATCTTTCTGCTGCTTTTGACACTGTTGATCATCAACAGCTTCTTCGCATTCCCCGTAATTTGGGTTACTCTCTCCTGGTGCTCCTCCTACCCCTCCCAGTGCTCTTTCAGTGTTTCTTTCTCTGACTCTGCCTCTTCCCCCCAACTCCTCTTGTCGGCAGCCCCCAAAGTTCTGTCCTTGGTCTCCTACTGTTCTCTATCTATACTGCCTCCCATGGTAAACTCACCAGCTCCTTTGGCTTCCGTTATTTCTTTGCGGATGACACGCAAATCTACCTGTCCTCTCCTGATCTCTCCCCGTCCATCTTAACATTTGACTCTGACCGTCTCTCTGCGATTTTTACAACTGGATGGCTGCTCACTTCCTTAAATTCAACCTGTCCAAAACAGAACTTCTGCTCTTTCCTCCCTCAAGTGTTCCTACTCCTGTGTGTCTCCCTCCAAGTCAACGGTGCTACCATCACCTCTACCTCGCAGGCTCGCTGTCTGGGTGTTCTTTTTGACTCCAACCTCTCCTTCACCCCTCATGTCCAATCAATCGCCAAATCCTGTCGCTTTCATCTCAAAAACATAGCGCGCATCCGCCCCTATTTAACGCCGGACGTGGCTAAGGTGCTGGTCCATGCTCTTGTTCTCTCTCGCCTTGACTTCTGCAATACCATTCTCAGTGGTCTTACATGTTCCCAGATTTCACAGCTGCAATATATAAAGCCCCCCCTCCCCCCCCCTCCCTGCGCTGTCAGTCCCTGCACTGGCTCCCAGTTAGATATAGGGCTCAATTTAAAATTCTGGTGCTTGCTTACAAGTCCCTACATAATGCTGCTCCAACCTACCTATCCTCCCTACTACACAAGTATGTCCCGTCGAGGCCCCTACGTGCTGCCAGAGACCTACGTCTATCCTCTGTCCGTACTCCCATCTCTAACGCTCGCCCCCAAGACTTTTCCAGGGCTGCACCTCTTCTGTGGATCTCCCTTCCATTCTCCGTAAGACTTTCACCCAGTCTCCACTCATTAAAAAAATCATTGAAAACTCACTGTTAGCAGGTTTTTATCCCCCACCCTCCATGACTCCTCTCCTGCACCTGTTAAAAATTACCTATTAAGCCCTCAGTGAATACTTGAATACTTAGTACAACCTACTTCATACCCCTACTTTTACCCTTTATGTCACTATACTCCACTCCCTCTAGAATGTAAGCTCATTGAGCAGGGCCCTCAATCCCTCTGTTCCTGTACGTCCAGTTGTCTGGGTACAATTACATGTCTGTTAGTCCACCCATTGAACAGCGCTATGGAATGTGATGGCGCTATATAAATAATAAAATAATAATAATATTAGCCTGGGAGTATATTTAACGAATTTCAACAAATCACTAAAAAGTATCCAAGGATATGGCAAATTATTTTCCAAAAAGTGTAAATATAACTGTGAAGACTGTGCGTGTGAAACCTTCTTTTGAGCTGCTTTGGGTCGACTTATTGTAGGAGACATTCCACCCCCCTAAATCGGGACACGGGGGATCTACGGACCTAGAAATCAGGACTCAGTAAGAGGATCCAGGCACTCCAAGTATCTTTAAAGGTTTTTATTGGGACATGTGAGACAACGTTTGGACCCCCGGAAGGGTCTTTGTCAAGCTACCTAAAAATCAGGACTGTCCACACGAAATCGGGACGCTTGGGATGGATGCAATAATGCAGAGCACCTGCCTTGCAAAGACTTGTCATTGAGCTGCATTGGGAAACATACTGCCAATGAGTAAAACGCATAATTAAATGTTTTAGTTTGGGCTATATTTATTAAATAGTGATTTTATTGGAGGGATAGGTGTGTAGTGTTGTTTTAATACATATTCCCGCCTAAATCACCACTGGGAGGCGCACGCGCAGTGAGAAGCACTGGGGCGCGTGCACGCGCGGAGCGCTGGGGAGCCGCGCATGCGCAGCGCTAGGTTCTTAAAGAGGGAGGGAATCCTCCCCTCCCATGTTGATAAGGAAGTCAGTTTTGTAAGCTCCTCCCACTTAGTACGTTAGCAACAAGCCCCGCCCATCCTGTCAGAGTGGAGTCGGTCAGTTTGTTTACATTCAATGTGCTGGCCCCTTGTCAGTCTCAGGCTGTGATTGGTCCAGTGATCTGGAGGTGCGGTGTGATTGGCTGAGTGAGCGGGAGGCGGTCCGTGATTAGCTGAGAAGTGCGGTGTGATTGGCTGAGTGAGCGGGAGGCGGTCCGTGATTGGCTGAGAGGTGCGGTGTGAGCTGCAGGCGGTCTGTGATTGGCTAGCAGTGTGTTTGTGGGTGTGGACGGCAGGGATCGCTCAGTCAGTCAGTCAGTCTGTCAGTCTGTCAGTCAGTCAGTCAGTATGGCCGCGCTCGGTGTGTCTCTGTGGGCTCCGGTTCTCGTGCTCGCGCTCGCTCTGGCCCCGGGCTGCCTGGCCGGCCTCCCCCCGCGGAATGACACGGCCCGCGTGGCCCGCTATGTGATCCATGAGTGTGACTGGGGGGCGCTGGCCACCATCTCCTCACACAGCCCGGTCACCGGACAGCCCTTCAACAACGTGTTCTCCGTGAGCGACGGGAGCCGCCGGGCCGGCACCGGGACACCCTACTTCTACCTCACCGCCATGGAGATCTCCGTGCAGGACCTGCAGGTCAGTCAGTCTGTGTACCCCCTAAATATACTGAGTGTACCCCAATATATACTGAGTGTACCCCAATATATATAATACCATGGAGATCTCCGTGCAGGACCTGCAGGTCAGTGTGTACCCCTAAATATACAGTGTACCCCCTAAATATATACTGAGTGTACCCCAATATATATAATACCATGGAGATCTCCGTACAGGACCTGCAGGTCAGTCATTCACCCCAATATATATATATATATATATATATACTGTGTGTGTAAACCCAAATATATACTGTGTGTGTACCCCACATAATACCATGGAGATCTCCCTAAATACTGACTGTACTCCTACATACCGCTATGGAGACCTCCGTTCAGAACCTGCATGTCGGTGTGTACTGAAATAATCACTGTGTGTACTGGAAATACTCAGTGTGTACCCCCAAATAACCACTGTGCATTAATATGACTGTGTACTCTTGTTTGTTTTTCCAATAACTTTTTGTTGTGGGAGAAACTGCCAGTAAATATAGCAAACAGGGAAAATTAATCTTTGCCTTGTAAGTGTTCTCCCTACATATTCTCTGGTTGTTATTTTATGTTACTGGCATATGAGCACCAACTAAAATCTTTGAAGTAAATTAATATTTTAACTAACATCATGCTATATGTGCAACAACAAATTAAAAAAAATAAAATAAAACTGTCCTGCTGCAGGCTACAGTGTATTATTTATCTTTCTTTTTTTTTTAAAACAAACAGATCCTTGGAATTGGTACTTAGCTGGAGTTGTTGCAAAGCTTGTTGTGTTTGGCAAATTTAGCTGCAATTACAGAGTTATGTGAGATCTGCTCTTCATGCAAATTTCATAACTTGAGCTAACTATTTTGGTGAAGTATGAATTACTAACATTCTTGCACCCACTTATTAATGATAAAGCAACCAAGGCACTCTGAATTAGTGGTCCAAGTGCTATTAAGAGGTTGCTATTTTCTACTTTGTTTGTTTTTTGTTTGGGTTTACATAAAATAAGCTGCTGTTTTGGCACAGGCTGTCATATGATACAATTTCCAAATTGGTCCAGGACTCCCTTACACAGCCAGTGGGCATGGAGAAAGTAATGCCCTGTGAGCTAAGTAGGAGCATGACCGCAGGTTGAGTAACATAGCAGCTGGGTAAGTGTTATAGGCACCATACACACTTCATGCTGCTCAAGTACTTCAGGCTAGCAGAGGTAAGCAAATGTGGCTCCAGGTGGGAGGAGGAAAAATGTTCATATCCATGGGTGGGGATGGATTGACTTTTGACAATGGAACGATTGGGCTGTATTGAGGTGGATTGTTGGCTGGGAGTGGGCTACTAACTGATATACTAGTGTGTTCATTTAATGAAAAAACACTGACATTTCAGAGAGTAGGGGAATAACCCTATTATGACAAAAAAACACGTAACCTTAATAATAAAATTAAACAGTAAAATAAATGAAGGAAGCCCTATCCTTCATTGGTAACTAAGGGTAATAGTATACAATTATTTGCAAAGTATATGCACATAAATACCAAAAGGGTAATGTACGTTCTCTGTAAAAGGCCATGGTAGATACTCCCAATTATAATAGGGGTAACTATTTTCAAGCTACCACCCAATTGAAACAATTCATACCGGGTACAAAAAGATAAAACAATGGTACTAGAGAAACCTATATAATACAGCTACAAATGCAAAGAGAGGGATCGTGAGGGGCACCTCCCCTAAATTAATCAAAGTAACACACCAGAAAGTATAAAAAGACTGATATATATCACAATGCAGCTGATAAGCCCTTAAAGCTAATTGTAATATAAAGGGATACGGATGCCTAGATAATAAGTTATATCACGGTAAAAAAGGACTAGGAGTGCTAGTAAAAGCAAAAAATAAAGAGGAAGAGGGGAGAAAAATACACACATATCCCTAAATAGACTTCGGCACCGTAGAAACCAACAAGCCATTAAACAAAAAACAGTGCTACCCATATTGTGTGAAAAAACAAAGTGAACTACCAAGACCCGACGCATGTTTTTAGGTGTTTGTATTCCTGTCACTACAGTGTTCCTTTTAACATCCCTACCCTTATTGGTCACATGGACTAGTTTCTGAACATTGTGAAAGGCGTAATCCACATCGGCTAAAGTGCCAAACTTTATCCAAACTGGACAGTCTGTATCAGCACAGCGCCAGCCAAGTTAGAACCTCCCAACTCATCCATATGTCTTTATTTGCTAATTCTTATATAATTTCCGTATCACGGCTGCTTTACAGAGAATAGTGATTACACTCCGGTAATGGGTTACCCCCATGCAATATACAATCATTACCCACCAAAACAAAGAGAAAACATTGTAACAAAATGGCCCATGAGCATACAATCTGAAGGATTATATATAGTAATATCCAAACGGTGTGTCTCTTCCCACCATTTCATATACAGGTTGATGTATGATGGGTTAAATGGTGTCCCATCAAAGTCTTACACATGTTTGTAGCATGAGTGTATAGCCAAAAATAAGCTGCTGGTCTCAAATCTCCCAGGGACATTTCAGGAACCTGGTGTATGATGTGAATAATTCACAGGGTTCTCAAAGTAAAAGAGCGGTCCTGTCTGTTAAATGTTGCTCCTGGAGGTCTTTAGGGAATGCTTGTTAGGTAAGTACATGTTTTAATCTGTACACTTGATGACCATTTGGCCAGCACAGAGTATACATTATGTTTATACCTACCAGAATTTGAGGTCTGTGACTGTTCATCTGCATGAAACTAACAGCAATTTATTTTACTTTATTGCTCCTTTAGTAAAATGCACATAGCACTTATTGACAGGGTGATAACTGCTCCCAGTTTATTTTAGGATATGGAAACGGTCCCTATTTGTAATGGGATTCTCTTAGTACTGTATGATGGAAGAATCCCATGTTTACATGAAGATAGTCAGGCTCCCTGTTGTCTTCCAGAGTTCACATACAGCTTTTACTCTGTGAAGAGTCACCGTGAATCATCAGTTTCTCCTATATTTACAGTGTCAGCGTGATGGTTGAAAACTGTGTTGTCTAAAGATAACACAACAGATGTCTCACACATTGCTGGATACGCACATTTTCTTTCTCACTTCTCTTTTTTATGGTTTTGTGGGGTTTTTTTTTTTTGCGTGTGTAATGATGTTTGAACATTATTCTTGAGTCTGACTTCTCTAATTCCATAGTATAAACCATACAACTATCACACAATGTATATACACTGTGGGTATTAATTAACAGGGTGCTCCCCAAAGTGTGAATTGTCAGGAAGATAATTTGTAATATTAGGCTGAAATAACCAAATTGAAATCCTAGGTGACTTAAACAAACGTTTCTAAACCCGCTATTATGTCCTAAAATGTGAAATTCACTTATAACGCATGATTCGTTCCTAGCCAGTAAGCGTGTGTGTGTTATTTTGAAACCACAGTACCTGTCAGCAGATGGGATGGTTTCCCTTTACATCCATTGATGCTCAGGTAGCCTAGCCTGGCCGAGCTTGATGTGAAATGTATCCAGAAAAGCAAAATACAGACCTCAGAGGTTTAGCAATTAAACCTGTTTTAAAACATAAGTGAGCACCTTTCAGATTTATACAATGTAGTGCAATTTCTCAATATGGCTCTACTTCGGGCTGTTCTAATATTTGCATACTATATCACCAATAATAAGGTGATTTCAATGAAAGAGTTACACTTTTTACCTGCAATTTGTCAGATGGCTGTTCCTGGTCTTGAATCTGTACAGTGTGAATTGTTTGATTACATAATTGTTTCTTTTAATAAAGTTTGTCATAAATTGCCATACGTGAAAACCTAAAAATTTTTTTAACCTGACTTGTGTTTAAAAAAAAAAAAAAAAAGTTATTTACTGATTTATGTATTATATGCAGATGGTCATTTGGTTTTGTGATGTTAGAGACAAAATTCGAAAGAGGCCCAATTCCATTTGATATGTTATCAAATTGGTGCTGGGCCCTTAGATCAGTTTAAAGGAACACTATGGTAAGCCCCTATCCCTCACATACTAGGCCCACCCCTGATGGCTTGAAATGGATTCACATGCCTGAATCCAGTGCTGAGGTCCTCTCCTCCACCTCCAACATCACAATGTGCATGCACGGCCAACGCATTAAATCAGTGCTTCCTATGCTGGATGTCCATATGCAAAGTATTTCCAAGATAAATAGACGGTTCCTACTTTATTTTTTCATAAAAATACTGCAAAATTCATGCATTGTGTTTCTGTGTGTGAAAATTACGCTGGCTGCAATTACATTTATTAAAACTCACCCCTGTATCTTGCCAGCTTCCAAAGTATTTCTCAGATATTCCCCTGTGTTGCCAAGAAAATGCACAGATCCATCTGTTAGAAAAATGCTTGGATTGGGAATTTTTTTTCTTCCAAATACTGATGGATTCTGTAGGATACAGATAAGGCGTTACAAGGATAAGGCATTTTTTCTTTTTTTACTTTTTCTCTTTGTACGTTTTGGCCTTTTAATTCTTTAAAGGTGTTTGTATATTTTTTTTCATTCAAGTTTTATTTAATTTATTATGGTTTAGATTTTTTTATATATAAAACTCTGGAGAAAATCTTGGAGGACTGCTGCAAATACATGAAAACTTTGTTTTGACTCTGTATCTTAAAAAAATAAAATTAAAATAAAAAGTTTGGTTTTTCTATCATTTCATAATGATCAAATTTTTAGCCATAAACTCCTACCCAATGAGTCTTTAGTTTAGTTTGTCTTCGTACAATTTTAGCATGACATTTTGTTACGTGTTACCAGCCATGCACTGCAACAACCTCATTCCTTTTAATTATTTTTTTTCTCCTCCCCAGGTAAACCCAAATGCATCCTTCACTGCGTCCTTGGCTCAGACCCATTACTGCAAAAAGGAGGGCTTCGACCCCCAGAGTCCCCTCTGTGCACACGTTATACTGTTTGGTAACATTCAGCAGGTGAGGTCTAATATCTTCCTTGAGACTTCCTCTTTGTTCATGATCCAGTAAGTGGCTTCTTAAACGTGGATAGATTATGTGCTGGACACTTTTGCTGGGGGGAAAAAAGTTGTCTAGTTTGCTGGGGTCCGATTTATACCCTTGACAGGTGATATTGATGTTAAAAAGTGAGTCTAAGTGCCAAAACCACTTCAGCTTAATAACGTAGTTTTAGTGTATAGATCGTGTCCCTGCAGTCTCATTACTAATTTCTCTTTTTAACATTTTTATTTCTGCAGCTCCTAGCCAAGTCTCCCCTGCCTGTAAGCCTCCCTACACACGCCATGAAAACAAATTTTTATATGTAACCTATCATAACAGAGTGTGTTTACTTTAAAGGGACTCTTCAGTGCCAGGAAAACAAACCATTTTCCTGGCACTGCAGGTCCCCTCTCCCTCCCACCCCCCATCCCAAGTTGCTGAACGAGTTAAAACTCCTTCAGTGACTCACCTGTATCCAGCGCCGATGTCCCTCGGCGCTGGTTCAGGGTCCACCCACGCTCCTCCCCCGCCAGATGAAGTAATCCGACGGGGGAGACCTATTGCGCATGCACGGCCACTGGTGGGAGAGACCTAATGGCATTAGACCTCAAGATAGGAAAGCATTGAAAAATGCTTTCAATGCTTTCCTATGGGGATTTAAGCGACGCTGGAGGTCCTCACATAGCGTGATGACGTCCAGCAACGCTATAGCACACTTTTCGTGTCCTATAATCAGGGTGTTTTACACTAACTCAGCCCTATTTGAAGTATACCCTATAGTTGCCGCTGCTGTCACTTGGTCTAGGTTGTGGAAAGGGCAGTCCGTGTGCTGCTTTTTCGACAACCTGGCAATATGCCACATTATCAATAAGGACCACTCTTCCTCCTTGGCGATTATGAGTTTCCTTAGGAAACTGACATGGTTGGCAGCTACCCATCAGTTCCACATTATATGCTCTCATGTTCCCGGGATATACAATACGGCAGCTGACCGGCTATCTCGCTACCTTGGCAGCTTGCTTGGCAACCCCAGCTCCAACCTTCCAAGACCTTATCATGGAGTAGATGAACTACTTCAGCACAGCCATGCTCTCACCAAGTTAGCCTTATCCACCAGCACTCAACACGCATATCACAGAGCTTTTCACTTGTACAAACAATTTATGTCTGACCATCACCTAACCAACTGGTTTGAGGTTTCTTCACTGATAGCTCTTGCCACCTTAAATTTAAATTCTCACATAACACTGTTACGCTGTACCTCACGGGTATACAACGCCATATGTATTGCTCCTTCCCTTATGGTTATAAGGGTTTCTTAACTTCTTACCCCATCCGAACATTGCTCAAGGGCATAGCAAAAGCGGATGGTCCAGCAACACTCAAGAGACTGGCCATTGACATTAAAATGTTCAAATCCTTGTCCGACCTACTCGACCAGGCACCATTTGAACCCCATACGAACGCAGTTATTAAAACCGCCATTTATTTAGCCTTTTATGGTTTCCTTAGACCAAGATAATTCACCATTAGTGGCCAGCACCATAGCCGAGGGTGCCTCCTCACCTCTCACCTTATGAATCACACAGACCACTATGTCCTGACCCTACCCAAGACCAAAACAAGTCAGATGGGGGAACCGGTTCACATAACCTACTATCCCACAGGGAACAATTGGTGCCCGGTGAAGGTGCTGGACGCTTTCTTAGCCACAACTCCAACACCATCACGCACCACAAAACCACTACATGATGCAATTCTTACCACGGCTAAATGTATGCTTTATGTCCGTATGCTTATCACCAGGCTTGGTCTAAATCCTAGCAACTACTCAGGGCACGCCTTCAGAATCGGAGCTGCCTCTAGTCAAGATATCCCAGCGCAAGTGATTAAGACACTGGGTCGCTGAAAGTCCTTGGCTTACGCCACTTACATCCCACACCCAGTCCAAGAGATTAGGAGGGCTTTCATTAAGATGTCTACCTAATATGTAATAATGTACTATGTTTCTGAATAAATGTTTTGCTTTGATTTATCTCTTTTTGCCCACTCTATTACCGGCCTACAGCATACATCGGTTTCGGCACACCTCAACCGACTATTCCTTTTTATTTACTCCTCTTCACCAGTGTAACACAGACAGACACAGACAGACACAGACAGACACAGACAGACACACAGACACAGACAGACACAGACAGACACACACAGACACACACAGACACACACAGACACACACTGACACACACTGACACACACTGACACACACTGACACACACTATCTGACACAGACTATCTCACAAAAGTGAGTACATTCCCTCACATTTTTGTAAATATTTTATTCTAACTTTTCATGTGACAACACTGAAGAACTGACACTCGGCTACAATGTAAAGTAGTGCGTGTCCAGCCTGCATAACAGTGTAAATTTGCTGTCCCCTCAAAATAACTCAACACACAGCTATTAATGTCTAAATCGTTGGCAACTCACAGACACAGAGAGAGATAGATATATCTATCCAAATCTGTGTGTGTGTGTGTGTGTGTATGTATGTGTATATGTATGTGTGTGTGTGTATATGTATATATATATATATATATATATGTGTGTGTGTGTGTGTGTGTGTGTGTGTGTGTGTGTATGTATATACACACTCACACACTGACAGACATACAGATGCATGCACACACTGACACATACAGTTATACATACATATATACAGATATGCATACACTCACACACAGGCTTCCCTGATGTCTAGTCTGCAGTCTGAGGAAGTTGGACGTAAGGGGCTGGCTCTTGCGACCTGCATCCCCTCCTCTCATGCCTTTTCCTCTAGCTCCTGTCTCTGGTGCCGATAGGCAAGGGTCCGGTCATGCTGTTTAAGGCCCATGGCGATCGACCAGGCCCCTGCTGATCAAGGTGCATTGGGTGGCTCTCTGCAAGCGGCCAATGGGCCGGATATTTTGCATGCCTGGCCTACTGTGTGAATTTAAAGTTTGCAAACAAAGCTTCGCAGGAAGAAACCAGAATCAGAGAATTACATGTTTGGACTAAGCCGTTCGTTCTGCCGCATACCCAAACATTGGTCGAGACTAGATGAAGGGTGCAATTCCAAGTGCCCTGCTTATATACACAGACTCACAGCTAAAACATAGGTAAACCCACCCAGGTGTCTGTGTCTGGGAGAATAGTGAGTTTGATTTGCTTCAACTAATCTCCCAGGCACTAGAGGTACAATGCACAAAACATAAAACACCACAAAGCACAAACAATATTAATAGGAGCCCTGACAAGTCTTATATCCCCGGATAGCCTGGATTGGAGCGCCTAAGTTGCCCAAATAGTGCTCAGATCCCGATAGTACAAATTGCCACCGGGGTAAAGTTTTGACAAACCACACATGTGGCGGCTTTCCAAATTGGTTCCGTAAGAAAAGTGATAGCGGCTGGTCAGCCTACGGGAGATCCTGCATGAAATTAAACAAATGGTTCCTCTAACCCGTAGCTGAGCGAATGTTCGGGAATGTCTTTTTACCGAACAGCTCTCTCCTTGCTTGTCTGGGAAAGAAGTAGGTGACGGTACAAAGTTACTGGGGTTCTCGGGTTAAGGTATCCATCCTAGAGTTCCACGCACTCGACGACCTCATACTGCTGCCTGCATTCGGGAGACAAAATGGACACCATTTGCCAGAACACATGCGTGAGGTTATACGAATCATGGCCACCCAGAGAAAACACTTGAGTTTCTGCTTTTAAAAAAAATAAAAATAAAAAATTTAAGCTAACGAGCAGGGGGGGAGGAGGGATCGGTGTTTGGTAGATAAAAGTACCGAACCAAGGGAAACATATTGGGCTCAGGGAAAATGAACATAGTTTCAGGGCAGTTTGTCACAAGCATCATATTCCAAATGTACTCACTTCTCTGAGTTAGTGCTTTGCAAAAATGGAGTTGATCAGTTTAGCTTCAGAGGTTGCTTGAAAAACCAATAAATGCATATTTTTATTTTAACTGCCTTGTGTTCAAATGCACAAAACATATACATGTATAAGACACACCTTCCCTGTGAGTGCTTTTGGTACCTTGTTTGTCTTCACTTGTGGATATGTAGTGATCAAATGCAGAGCTATACTACTAGGTATGTACTGTGCCTGCCTGAGTATCATGGGAGCTGTAATCTACAGAATGCCGAAAGGTCCTCTCCTAGTCATTCTACATTGAATAGTTACCACGTTTTGTTTAACTACAGATGTAGGGATAGGATAAAGACATTAGCTCAGCAACATTGTTCTTTATTGTAGTGAAAAGCACTGTGTAACATTCTTCTAATGCATTTTTTATACCCAGGTGAGTGGCACCGAGATAGACACTGCAAAGCTGGCACTGTTCACTAGGCACCCCGAAATGGCCAGCTGGCCCCGCGATCACAACTGGTTCTTTGCCAAACTAAACATCATGAACATCTGGCTGCTGGATTATTTTGGCGGCATCAAAACTGTGACTCCAGAAGAATATTACAAAGCTAAGCCTTAGCAGGTATCTTATTGTTTGTTTATTTTTTCCTTCATTTTAAATAATTAAAAAAAAAAATACAAATTATTTATTAGGAATGTCAGATATCCTTTCCAGATAATTTGTCAATCATAGAATAATGTACATATAAATTTAAAACCTTTGCAATCAAAGCAAATGGAAGACCACTGTGTTTTTTTTTAAATTGAACAATTAACCCACTACTTGTCTATTCATCACAATTGAGGGAGGAAAAATTACCCCCCTATATTCATTATGATTATGTTTCAGTTTGGGACTCTGAGGAGTAGACATAGGACAACAATTTGTGAGTCACAAAATAAGTAAACTAAACTTAAAAAACAAGAACCTACAAATCCTAATTATCACCTTTCCAGAGGACCCTCTCTTTTCCACAACACCCCTGAAAGGTGAAAGATGGGTAGCTGTGTCTAGCAGGTTCCTTATTTAAAGTCTGACGTTTCCAGCAAAGAGAGATATGTATATATACACACACACACACCTCGGCTTACAAACACCTCGTTTAACATAATTTTTGGCTTACAAATGAAAATCCATTGAAACTAATGCCTCGGTTTACACATTTTTTTTTGCAATACAAAGCAAGTTTCCCCAGGATGCATTGCACCTGGGAGATTTATAGCCCCGCCCCCTGCATGCTGGAGTAGCACGTGCAGTCGAATGTGGAGGTGTTGGAGCGGATTTTGCCTCGAGTTTTTGAGCCATTCTGGGAATTGTTTGCAGTTGTTTTGGGACTTTTTGGTGCAGTTCTCAAGCTGTGGAAAGGTAGGGAGCTGAGCTTCGTCGTTTGCATGCCTTTTATTGTGTGCTCAGCATTGTGGGTTGGTTTCCATGCCAGCTCGTTTCGACTTTTTTCTGACCTCCAGAACGGATTAATTGGTTTTCAATGCATTCCTATGGGAAACCACGTTTCGGTTTACAAATTTTTCGCAATAAGAAACGTCCCGGAGAACGCATTAAATTCGTAAACCGGGGTCCCACTGTATATATGAGAGAGCGAGAGAGAGATTTTTAAATACCCTACATCTAAGGACACTGTATCCTATTGGATAACAAGGGGCATATTTGTAAACCATGCTTCAGTGGTCTCTCATAGTTGATGGTTATTGCATCACCATGTTGACATTTTGAAAATGAATTGTTTGATTGTACACACTCTGCTCACTGATGGTGTGAGCAGATTATCTGAACTATCCAATCAGGCGCATCTTAAAAATAATATTCTGTCTGCAGTCCAGAAATAACCCCAGCTGATTCAAAGTAGGATACAGAAGGACCCTCCTCTGCAATTCAATTTTCTGTCATTGAAATGTTCCAATTCAGATTTAGCCTAGTCTTTGGTTATTTTCTTATATTTACGTTTCAGTGTGTGGGTAAAGAAATCTAATTTAGACAAGTTTAGATTTCTACAGCCTGATACAGTTTTCTATTAGCTTGCCTGAGATTGTATTTCTTGGATCCCCTTTGGTGGTAGAGAACTTAACTGTGTATTTTACGGCAACTGAACTCCCACAAAGTCCCTGACTCCCTGTAGATGGGAATCTTGACACTAGCGTGAAACGAACAAGCTGGTTGTGAGCCTGATTCCACTACAAGGTGTGTAGCAATTCTAAATCCTAAAGGCTGGGTACCTGCAGGGTTTTGGTCTGTAGCACTTTAAGAATATTTCACAAGGACTTTGTACATGCAAGAATCATCTCTACATTTTAAACCGTCTATTTCTAACTCACCAATTTTATATTGTCTGCTTTCTTTTCAACAGATTTTGGAGCCCCAGATTTCATCCAGCATTTTGACTGCTTTATGAACAAACAGAAAATCATATCTGCCAAGGGGTTTAAATTGTTAAGAAATATTTAACCAGTGAATAGAGGTTTTTAGAATTGAGTAAAAGCTATCAATATATATTGCAGTATTGCCAGTGCTGAAAATTGTACTCAAATGAGGCCAGCTTACCAAAGATAGCTGTATTATTTTCAGAAGTTTGTAAAGCGCTGCAGAATTTGCTGGTGCTATATAAATAATAACATAATAATGATGACCTTTATTCTGGGAAGTAATACAAGCTTTTGAAATGGCTTTTTAGATTATGCCTTTGCTATGTAAATTAGAGTGATCATAATGTATTATCTGCTCTCACTGATGTATATAATGATATATGTTCACAATAATATAAAGGCAGGACTGGGTACACCGTATTAGGGGGGGGAAAGGCATTTATTATGGCAAAAATGTATGTGACATTAAATTGCCTTTCTGAAAACTACCTGTGTGCTCACTACTGGGGAGTACTTTGCCCGTTCTAGATTGATACCATTTTTGGGTGTGCTCTCTCTTCCTGTTTGCACTTTGTCACAGAAGGTCTGAGATGAGAGATTTGGTTTCTTTGTAAGCTTTAAAAGAAAATGATGAATGTGATTATAAACTTCTTGTCTGACCATGAGGTACTCTATGATCCTAGTTTGTCTCAGATTTTACTGTAGAACTAACAAATTGGGGATCTGTTTAGTAGACGAGATTAATATGAAATTCATGTCATTCACAATTATAAATATCTGCCCTTTAAATTCAACGAATAATCAAATCACATGGAGAAAATGCGTCAGTCGTGTGACATGTTTGATTTGGTCATTTTGTTGAATGAACAAACCGCTGACTTGTCCAATTTTTGGCAAATTCTGGTTTGTCCAAATGCCCAAGTAAAAAACAGGGAGCCATGGACGTTCTAGTCCCTGCCTTTACAATTTATACTACTAGCTAACTCTTTTAGACCTGTTCTGGCAATAAAAGGGTTGAGAAGTGCCTTTATTATGTGTTAATGATCTACATATTCTTTATTTAAATTACCTGTAAAATAAACTTTATTGAATGTAATAAGCAGATTTATATTCTATTTTTGTAAATGAGAAACTGAAATCACATTGTGATTGCTTGTGTTAGTATGAAATAAAGATATGATTACTATGTTTTTTTGTCCTTTAATGAGCTTAATACGTTTGTATGCAGCAAATTGAAAGGAGCCAAGTGTCTATCTCTGGGTCTGATATTATGGACCCTAAGAGGGTATCTTTGTATAATTTGAATATTGTGTGAGTTTAACCATGCTTTAAATACATTATGTATGTAATGTTTACAACCCTTGAGGTGTCTACGATGCATTTACTGTAAATACTGTTCAGATCTCTGATAATATTCAATAAAACCTTGGTAATGAAAGCCATTAGTTAAGATAGTGTATTTAGGACAGTAGTACAGTATGATGGTGGTAGAGACAGTAGTACAGTATGATGGTGGTAGAGCAGAGGGTTTTAAAGAACTTTCTTATACAAAGCTTAGAACTTGTAGAAACTATTTTTTGATGTGCTGCGGTTGAACAAATGAAACAAATGTCCAACCTCCCTTGCTCATCCAAGAAATTAGAAGATAAGGTTATATAATTTTTGTGGATGTTCTATTAAAGGGACACTTTGGGTACGAACACTGTTTATGAATGAGGCCAAAAACTATGAAATGCACTTACTGTTAGCATCTTTCTGATTGCAAGTGATTACTCAGTGTAGCTGAGCCAATTATTGAGCAATGTGTGCTGCTGTCTTACACCTTCTGTATAGTTATTCAACTCCATGCTAAGGGGGGAAAGGGCACATAACTAGAGGGCAGTGATTGGTTGTGGGACAAAACCATACCAGCAGCTCAGCTCATACTAACCTCCCATTGGCCGAACATAAACCGAGCAGGGTTATTCTGTGGAATGCTAGGTAAACGGCATATAAATCACACTCTTCTATCACCAGTCTTCAGGGACACTTAAAGGACCACTAAAGGCACTCACTCCACTTTAATGATGTGATCCAGGTGCAGTGGCCCTTTTAGTTTTGACCCTGAAATTTAAAACCTTGCGGTTTAGTAGATATGGCAATGCTTACTTTTCAGGGTTAGGTACGCCTTCATTGACTGCCTTCCTGACAGCCCATAGAGGAGCTTCAGCTGTGAGAACAAGTGAGTCAAACTCTGTTCTTACAGCTAGCCTCTATTTGATTGGAGGAATACAGCGTTAGCCGCGCATGTTGTCCTCAGTGCTCCTCTATTGGAATTGGATGAAATAGAGTCTGCGTGTTGTTGCAGGCGGAAGGTACTGCATCTCAGCCCTGGGGGGAAAAGTATGGATAACAAACATGCAACATTATTACCACACACCTCAAAGAAGGGGACAGGGACAGAAATATCAGAAAAGGCAGCTAGCCATCTGTAGAAATGGCAATGAATATTTTTATTTTTTTAATTTGAAAAGAGATTTTGATGTGGGAAAAAGCCTAATGAGTGTAAAGCCTCAACATGCATTTGCGGATTGTGGGAACATTTAACCTCTTCCCAACCAAAAATGTATTTGAAACACTTGGTGCATAACGAGCATATAATTAATTTGTGTATAGATTGCTGATCCATTTTACACAAATTTTATAAATATTTTTTTGTTTGTTCATTCTATAAAATATTTGGGAAATGTAAAGCTTTACAGTGACCGTATACCGTATTCTCGTTCTTCCAATATTTAATACAGTGACTGAAATATTATAAAATGGTCAAATAACCTACTTCTAGGTATTTGTAAGGACGCTGAAGGCATTACTAGTTGTTCAGTGTATATTGACAACTTATTGTAAAAATAATTTCTGCGTTTGAGCATAATGCCGACATGCAGCAAGTTCAGTTAAAACATATATTTCTACAATAAACATATTTTAAAAGTTCAATAGACATGTGAGAATACTCCTCTCTCTTCCCTGACTATGGGAATTGTTTGTTATCCTCTAAAAAAAAAACTGGCAATCATTTATGTAGTCTCAATGCAGGCAACTAAAGTATTTTGGGCTAACTTTTTTTTAGAAGTTGACTTTACCCCCTAACGAAATACTACGCAGGTAAAAAGATTCCTTGCAACTGAGCATTAAAAGCTTGATGTTTGTAGTAAGTAAAACCGCGTATTATTTATTCACCCCTTAGGGCTCTAAAATCAATACTAATACACAAATCCCCCTTCAGTAAGCCAACAAGTAATTTAGGTATTGGCATGTTTTGTATTGACGAAATAATTTTTCAAATAAAATACATCCTGAGCTATTTTGCTTTAATACGGACATCAGGTTTTTAATGTTTAGTTGCAATAAATATTTTTACCTGCACATAATGTTACATCAGGAAAATTACTAGAACAAATTACATTTCCTGTGTACAATAATTTGATATTTATTTTTTAAATACTTTGATAAGTCTCATGTACACAGTATCTTATCCATGTGAATGCAGTAACATAGCACTATGTACATGTAATTGTAGACTGTCTATGTTGCACAATCAGTTGTGTATTGAGATATTAAATAATTCCCTCTAATTATCCGAGTAAATTTGGTGTTTAAATTTAAAGCTTCATAACAGAGGTGATCTGTTCTGCTCCAATAGTCCTATAAATATTTTTCTTTTAGCCGTAGGTTATGATTGATAATAGTTAATGTTTGGTAAAATCTTGTTGATCCAAGGAAGAATCTAAATCGGAGTCAAGAAGGAGACGATCCCATGTTGGGGCACAATTGTAAATCACTACAAATTTTATATTTATATATATAATATATATATATATAGATATATATATATATAAATTTATTTATTTTCTATATCAACTGCAGAAACATACAAAAGGTTGCCTTTGGTGGACACAAATAATTTTTCAAAATGATTACTACATAACATTATAAATTTTGCTATGTATTTATTTTTGTAGACAAAATTGCCTTCCTACACACTTCCTAAAAATGTCAGTTTGCAGACAGTGTTTACATTACAAAATCCTTTTCTCCTGCTCGCCCTGCTAATTGCCTAATTGTGAATACTAATAGCACTGCCAGCAGCCTCCTGTGTGAGATTAATATTCTTACATAACCCTTACAGGACGAAACAAGAAATAGGAATGCATATTTTGGGACCTCTTGTTATGTGTATATAAACCGTGCACTCTGTGTCCTCAGTGCTTTGCCATAAGAAATATTTGATTGGACACAGCCCAGCATGAACAAGGAAGTTAATACTTTGCACAAAGGAGGGGGATCATTTAAACTTCAGAACTTGCAGAAGAGGTAGGAATTTAATCACAGAGGAAAATATTTTTTCTTTGACTTGCCTTGTTAAAGGGACACTCCAGGCACCCAGACCACTGCTGCCCATTGGAGTGGTCTGGGTTCCAACTCCCACTACCCTTAACCCTGCAAGTATAGTTATTGCAGTTTTTTTATAAAAAGAAAGAAGCGACGTGGGACATGTCGTTGCCTCTGGCAAGTCACTGAAGGGGTTTTCGCCCCTTCAGCAACCGGGGGTGGGGGGTGGAAGGGAGAGGGGACCTGCAGAGCCAGGAAAACTGATTGTTTTCCTGGCACTGGAGTTTCCTTTTAAATAAATTATGCCTTTTTAATCTAGCTCTATCTTAATATGGTTTAAGTTCTGGGATAGAGGACATTTGGACATCTCAGTAGTGATGGCGTGTTAGATATTTTCTATTACTTATTATATTTTGGGTTCGAAGTGCACAATAAGTGAGCTCTCCTTAATACCTTTCCCTGGAAAGTTAGAACAAGGTATATTGAAAAGCACAGTTAAATCACATGGATAAATAACTGGTTTGACCTTGCTAGCTGTGAAATCTTTAAAGGTGGACACTTCATTGCTGTTCAGTATGAAGCAGCATTGGTTGAAACACTGCTTCTGGAAGTATGGTTACCGTGGAAACTTGGAAATACGGCCTACACAGTGGCCCTTCTCTCTGTAATGGTTACCGTAAAATAAAGGCTATTGGATATGAGCAATTCATTTCATTCTGGATATAAATTAGGACCAATTTCAGGCAATTCGGATGCTTCCGAAGTGCCGAATTTCAGAAGTGCCAAAGTGCTTTGGATTTCTGAAAAGTGGCAAAACAGGAGAAGAAAGGAAAATTACTTGAATGACGAGGGGCATCTTGACCAGTAAGCTAATTCCTGGCACTGGGAGCTCTATAGGTGTGTAAGTGGTTGTGGTGGCAGTCCAGGCACTGGGAGCTCTATAGATGTGTAAGTGGTTGTGGTGGCAGTCCAGGCACTGGGAGCTCTATAGATGTGTAAGTGGTTGTGGTGGCAGTGGTGGTGGGCACTGGGAGCTCTATAGATGTGTAAGTGGTTGTGGTGGAAGTCCAGGCACTGGGAGCTCTATAGATGTGTAAGTGGTTGTGGTGGCAGTCCGGGGAGCTCTATAGATGTGTAAGTGGTTGTGGTGGCCGTCTGCACTGGGAGCTCTATAGATGTGTAAGTGGTTGTGGTGGCAGTCCGGCACTGGGAGCTCTATAGATGTGTAAGTGGTTGTGGTGGCAGTCCAGGCACTGGGAGCTCTATAGATGTGTAAGTGGTTATGGTGGCAGTCCGGGCACTGGGAGCTCTATAGATGTGTAAGTGGTTGTGGTGGCAGTCCAGGCACTGGGAGCTCTATAGATGTGTAAGTGGTTGTGGTGGCAGTCCAGGCACTGGGAGCTCTATAGATGTGTAAGTGGTTATGGTGGCAGTCTGGGCACTGGGAGCTCTATAGATGTGTAAGTGGTTGTGGTGGAAGTCCAGGCACTGGGAGCTCTATAGATGTGTAAGTGGTTGTGGTGGCAGTCCGGGCACTGGGAGCTCTATAGATGTGTAAGTGGTTGTGGTGGCAGTCCAGGCACTGGGAGCTCTATAGATGTGTAAGTGGTTATGGTGGCAGTCCGGGCACTGGGAGCTCTACAGATGTGTAAGTGGTTATGGTGGCAGTCCAGGCACTGGGAGCTCTATAGATGTGTAAGTGGTTGTGGTGGCAGTCCAGGCACTGGGAGCTCTATAGATGTGTAAGTGGTTATGGTGGCAGTCTGGGCACTGGGAGCTCTATAGATGTGTAAGTGGTTGTGGTGGCAGTCCAGGCACTGGGAGCTCTATAGATGTGTAAGTGGTTGTGGTGGCAGTCCAGGCACTGGGAGCTCTATAGATGTGTAAGTGGTTATGGTGGCAGTCTGGGCACTGGGAGCTCTATAGATGTGTAAGTGGTTGTGGTGGAAGTCCAGGCACTGGGAGCTCTATAGATGTGTAAGTGGTTGTGGTGGCAGTCCGGGCACTGGGAGCTCTATAGATGTGTAAGTGGTTGTGGTGGCAGTCCGGGCACTGGGAGCTCTATAGATGTGTAAGTGGTTATGGTGGCAGTCCGGGCACTGGGAGCTCTATAGATGTGTAAGTGGTTGTGGTGGCAGTCCAGGCACTGGGAGCTCTATAGATGTGTAAGTGGTTATGGTGGCAGTCCGGGCACTGGGAGCTCTATAGATGTGTAAGTGGTTATGGTGGAAGTCTGGGCACTGGGAGCTCTATAGGTGTGTAAGTGGTTGTGGTGGCAGTCCAGGCACTGGGAGCTCTATAGATGTGTAAGTGGTTATGGTGGCAGTCCGGGCACTGGGAGCTCTACAGATGTGTAAGTGGTTAGGGTGGTAGTCTGGGCACTGGGAGCTCTATAGGTGTGTAACTGGTTGTGGTGGCAGTCCAGGCACTGGGAGCTCTATAGATGTGTAAGTGGTTATGGTGGCAGTCCGGGCACTGGGAGCTCTACAGATGTGTAAGTGGTTATGGTGGTAGTCTGGGCATTGGGAGCTATATAGGTGTGTAAGTGGTTGTGGTGGCAGTCCAGGCACTGGGAGCACTATACATGTGTAAGTGGTTGTAGGGGTAAGGTTAGGGAGCCTACAGATGTTCCGAATTGCCCAATACTGGAAATTGAGTCAGGGATTATAAACCAGGAACACCGGAACAAGGAGTTGGTGCTTAGAAGACTCCAATAACTGAGAAAGGTAACTAAGAATGCCAGAGGTTTATGATATCTGATCGGAATGAAAATGACACTGCCATAGTGATCCATCCACTCTCAGATGCCTGGGTGTTTGACAAACATATATTAGTTTCATACGTGTTTATTTAGAATATTTGCACATGTGCGAAAACAGTCATACATCTATTAATATGTCTCAATCCACTGAGATGGAATGGATTTGTGCATATTGTGAGTGATAGAGTCAGACAGTGCAGGGGATTAAAAGAAAGACTGCCAAACTGTGACGGGCAATACTTGGTAGGAATGTGAGACAAATTAACCCCTTAAGGACCAAACTTCTGCAATAAACGGGAATCATGACGTCACACATGTCGTGTCCTTAAGGGGTTTTCAGAATCTGTCTGGGAAATTAGATGGGTGAACAGAGTTAACATCAATAAAATACTAACATCAGGTTGTGGAGCACAGCAATAATTTCAGTAACGTCTATCTATAATTAGTATAATGCACACAACTAATGTCAATATTATTCTAAGGTCACATTATGAAGTATCCACAAAAAACCTTGTTATAAGTAAGAGGATGTCTCACACTCAAAATGACTTTGTATATCACGTGTACTTCCAAAGATATATTGAGTTGAGTTTCATTTAAAACCAATATATAA